TGAGGCAAAAGGATCACCTGAGTGCAACAGGTTGAGACTGCGGTGGCTGCGAGCGTGCCCCTGCACTACAGCCTGGGTGACAAAGTGAAACTCCGATTCAAAAAAAAAAAAAATTCCCAAAAACAATCGTGTGAAAACCCCGGCTTGCTAGTGCTGAGGTTAACCGGCATGGAAGTGTAGCCCTGAGCAGAGGCAAAAGTGTAACCCGCCAAGGCCCAAACCGTACACAAGGCGGGTTGCACCTCTCCTGGGAGGAAGTTTTGGGTAAAGATACTCTTTGTATTTTCTTACAATGATGCTTTATTGTTTAGGAACTGCTTATTAGTGAAAACATGTGGTATTCAGTTTTGTGCTTATGTGGCTTATGTGATAGTTCACCTAGAATGATGGCCTCCAGCTGCATCCGTGTTGCTGCAAAGGACACGACTTTGTTATTTATGACTGTGTAGTATTCCATCACATATAGGTACCACATGGGATAAGGAGCACACAACCCCCCATTGAGTACCATGTCTGCTACTGGAGGGAGGGAAGGCTCACTAGAAGGCCAAACCTCACCTGCAGCAACTTATGTGGCAAATCCTCACATGTACCCCACAACCCTAAAATTAAAAAAAAAATATGATGCTCCAAAAACTTCTGCCTGTGCAGTAGCTGAGTTGAGAGTTTTTCTCTTTTCTTCTGAAGATTATAAACTACTCCCATTATTCTGGCTTCCTTGGCTAAGGAAAAAACACATATAAACCATCACAATCTCTTATACTGATACAACTCTTCTTCTCGCCAATCCAATGTGAGCTAACCAATGCTAGTATAACAGACTCTCTATTTTTCTCTATTTAATACTTGCCTCACATCTCCATGTTTTCAACTTGTCATGCCATTAGACACTCTTATCTCTTTTAAAAAATAACTTTGTTTATCCTCAGACACATTTGCTTCTGTTTCTTTTCTTAAGTTTATTGACTTAAACTTGCTGTCTTTGTTGTTTTCTGTTTCTTTTTTTTGAAAGCAGGATTTACTGAGAGGACAGGAAAGCTCCCACAGTGGTAGGGGACCTGAAAGGGTTGCCTGTCATCATCCAATTTCTTTATCCTAATCTGCTCTACCTGCATATAGGATTGAGTTTCACTTATTGAAATTATTTATGTTCAAATAGTTTTATATGGCACATCTTATTTATTTAATTTAATTTTTTAAATTTATTTTTAAATTCATATTTTATTTTAAAGATGTGTGGTACAATTCATGATTAGGTATACAAGTGGACTTCGTACAGGTAAAGTTTGGGCCTCCCTTTGATCCCCACTTTGCCTGGTTTGAGATCAGGTACGCTTATTGATGCTATGCCCTCCAGCAGTATCCTACTACTGCAAATCCCATTCTTACAGTATTACAATAAATATTCAGGGTCCGTTTACGAGTGAGAACATGTGGTACTCTGTTCTTTGTTTCTGTGATAGATCACTGAGTATTACAGACTCTAAAACTGTCCAAGTTGTTGCGAAGTCTATATGTTTGTCCTTCTCTATGACTGTGTAGTATTCCATCGTGTATATGTACTACATTTTTTTATCCAGTCGAGTTTCAATGGGCAGCATGGTTGGTTCCATGTTTTTATGGTTGTAAATAGTGCTGCAATAAACAGGTGTGTATAAGTATCTTTTTTTGCAGAATGATTTGAGTTCTGGGTATATTCTCAGTAGGGGGTTTGCTGGATCATGTGGAAGGTCAATCTCTAGTCCTTTTATAAATTGTGACACTGTTTTCCACAGAGGTTGAGCTAGTTTGTATTCCCACCGGCTGTAGAAGCGTTCCTTTTTCTCCACATCCTTGCCAGCATCTGTTCTTGTTTGTTTTATTAATGATGGCCATTCTTACTGGGCTTAGGTGGTATCTCAATCTGGTTTTGATTGGCATTTCTCTGATGATGAGTTAGGCTGAGCACTTTTTCAAGTGTCTGTTGGCTGCCCATATACCTTCTTTTCAGAAGTGTCTATTCATGTCTTTTGCCCACTTAAAAAAAATTTTTATTATAAAGATGTGAGGTACAGTTCAGGGTTAGGTATACAAACATTGATCATGCAGGTACCCTTTGTTGATGAGGTATGTCCCTCCCTCCCTTAGCAGTTTGCCTCAATTGCCAATCCCAACCTCCTTCCCTGACAGTTTCCCAATACTGCCAATCACTTTCTTATAGCATTATAATTGTTCAAGTTCCTCTTATGAGTGAGAACATATGGAACTCTGTTCTTTGTTTCAGCGATAGATCACTGAGTATGATAGACTCTAAATCCATCCAGGTTGCCGCAAAGTCCATATATTTGTCCTTCTTTATGGATTTTTGCCCACTTTTTAATGGGGAAGTTTGTTTTTTTTCCTTTTAGCATGTTTGAGTTCCTTGTAGAACCTGGATATTATGCCTTTGTCAGATATACAGTTGGCAAATATGTTTTTTTCTATTCTGTGGACTGTCTCCTCACTCTCTTGATGGTTTCTTTTGCTTTGCAGAAGCTTTTCAGTTTAATGAGGTCCCACTTGTCTATCTTATCTTTTATGGCATGGAAATCTGAGATTTTGATCAGTTCCGGTTTCCATAAGGGTGTCTTCTGCATTTTCTAAGATTCTTATATTTTGAGGTTTTACATTTAGGTTTTTGATACATTTAGAGTTGATTTTTGTGTAGGTGATAGGTAGGGGTCCTGTTTCAATCCACATTGCTAAATAGAAACTGGAAGCAGTTCCCTTGAAAACTGGAATAAGACAAGGCTGCCCACTCTCCTCCTATTCAATATTGTGTTGAAAGTCCTAGTTAAACCAATTAGACAAGAGAAGGAAATGAAGGGTATCCAAATAGGAAAAGAGAAAGTTAAATTTTCCCTCTTGCTGACAATATGATCTATACCTCGAAAATCCAAGATAATCTGTCAGAAAACTTTCTTGCACTGATAAAGGACTTTGGCTAAGTCTCGGGGTACAAAATAAATGTGCAAAAGACAGTACATTCTTATACACCAACAACAAACAGGCAGAGGACCAAATAAAAAGCACAATTCTATTCACAACAGTCACACACAAGAAAGAAATACCTTAGCATCTTCCTAACCAGAGAGTGAAAGACCTTTACAATGAAAACTACCAAAATATTGCTCACAGAAATCCAAGAAAAAAGTTACGAACACATTATTTCAAATTTAGCTATTATTACTATTACTTAACATTTCTAAATGGACAGAAAAAAATCACAAGAGAGTTAGTAGAATGTAGGGAAAAAAGCATGGGCTTCTGAATTAGATCACTCTGGATTCAAATTCAAGTTCTGCTACTGATTAGCATGTGATCTCAGGCAAATTACTCAAATTCATTGAGTTTAAGTTGCCTTATTGCTAAACCAGAAAAAAGTAACTCTGTGTTGTTGTTGCTTCCTGTCCTTTTTTCGAGAATTACATGAATTAATGAGATAATGTGTTAATTAATTAAGAGTTTCATAAACCATTTAATGGGTGGCCAGTAACTACAGACACAGGATCCTGAGAAATGATTGGCCAGTACCTTGCTCTTAAGATCCATGTAGAGAAACAGATCTCTGGAGTTTGCAGGATAAAATAATTCAAATTTGTGGTTTTATATATGTATTTTCTAAGTTCTGCCATGTGCCAGACTTAGCACTTTACATTCATTGTCTTATGTAGTTTTCACAGTAATCATCAGAGGTAGGTATTATTAGGAGCATTTAAAAGTAAGTAAATGTTTTTCTCTTTTTTTTAAGTTTTATTTTAAAAATGTGGGGTACGATTCAGGATTAGGTATTCAAGTGGACGTAATACAGATAAAGGTCTTAGTCAGCTGGACGGGCCAAACTTAAAACCCAGGTGTTGGACTCTAATGTCTGTGCTCCTTACCAGTAATACATGTCTTAGCATTTTTTTGGGGGGGGGAGGGGAGAGTTATGTCACACCAATAAAGAGGCAACCTGTATAGGAAGTTATTTTGTCAGAAAAGTCAGATAAATTTAGTGTATAGTTCTCAAAGGAGATGAAGCCTTTAATCCCAGTGTACTGAACCCTGAGGCTAAATCAATTTTTCTGGTATTGAAGCTCCTCCTTCAGGTGAATAACTGACACAGGCGAAGGCAATCACTTCTAAGTTCAAGTACACTGAATATTTTCGAAAACTGCCTCTTTCATTACATTCTGAAGCTAGAAACATACTTGGTGGGGGTGGGGGTGGGGGAACCAGAAAACCACCAAATTGTGTATTTATTCTTACACATTCAAACTTCAGTCACCTTCGAAGTACTCTCCATTTAATGCAATACACCTATTAAGACGTTTTTTTCCATTGCTCAGAACAGTCTTTGAACTTGCCAATTTTGATAACTTTCAGTGCTTCTGCCATTTTTTGTTTTACCTCTTCCACATCAGCAAAATGTTTTCCTTTGAGGACTTTTCTCATCTGGGAGACAAACAAACAAAAAAGTCTCTGGGGACAAGATCTGGTGAATAAGGAGGGTGTGGCATGGAGGTCATGCCATTTTTGGTAAAAAAAAAAAAAAAAAAATTAATGCGTGCCTGTAGTTCCAGCTTCTTGGAAGGCTGAGGCGGAAGGATAGCGGGAGTCCAGCAGGTCGAGGCTGCGGTGGCCGGGAGCGGCCACTGCACTCCAGTCTGGACAACAGAGTGAGACGCCAACTCAAAAAAAAAAAAAAAAATTGTTGAACACTACTCAGCAGTGGTGTAGACAGGTGTGTTGTCATGGTGGAAGAACCAGTCATCTGTTTGCCACAACTTGGGATGTTTCTTCTGCAAATCATGACACAACCTTCTCAAAACTTGCTATTAAAGATTTTGGTTGGCTGTTTAATTTGGAGGAACAAATTCTGAGCATACTACCAGGGACCTACCTTCCAAAAGATAATTCTGGTTCTTTTAGGAGATCCCTCTCATAGCAAATTCCTCTGTAATGAATGATGAATTACTAACCTGTCTCTTTTCCTTTAGGGTGACTCTGGAGGACCCCTGGTTGTTTCAGATGCCAGAGATATTTGGTACCTTGTTGGAATAGTGAGCTGGGGAGATGAGTGTGCAAAACCCAATAAGCCTGGTGTATATACTAGAGTGACTGCCTTGAGGGACTGGATTACTTCCAAAACTGGTATCTAAGAGAAAACAAAAACAGAAGCAAAAACACCTGGCAGAATGGAACATATATTTTGTGTAGAGGCCATTTTTAGAGATACAGAATTGGAGAAGAAAACTTGCAAATCACCCAGCTCTGACTGGTCTCACTGATCTGTTTCTGATGGACGAATTTTCTTCCCATCTCTGTTCCACGTGTGAGCATCCTGCCAGATCGACTTGGTCCCAGCCTGCATTCATCTGTTTTCTATAAGTTTTCTGTCATCAAAATTCCGACTTGTTGACATAAATTTCTCACACGTATATACAATTTAAATCAATCCCTTCCTTCATTTCCTCAGCTTCTGTCTTTTCAGTACATTTCCATTTTCGAGGTGTGAAACAAGAAATGAAAAATATATACAAAGAGAAAAAGTTACATTTTTTTTTTTTTTGAGTTGGAGTCTCACTCTGTCGCCCAGATTGGAGAGCAGTGGACGCTCCCGGCCACCGCAGCCTCAACCTGCTGGGTTCCGGCGATCCTTCCGCCTCAGCCTTCCAAGTAGCTGGAATTACAGGCATGTGCTACCACGCCCGGCTGATTTTTTGATTTATTGTAGAGATGAGGTCTCGCTGCCCAGGTGGGTCTCGAACCCGCGGGCTCAGGCAATCCACTCACCTCAGCCTCCCAAAGGCATAGGATTACAGGTTGAGCCACCGAGCCCGGCACATTTTTTTTTTTTTCAGTGTGCAGGAAAACATTAGGTTTTTTTATTCTTAGCAGAATATGGAAAATGATCTTATTCATTATGAAAAGTCAAGCACATAAAGACAGCAGAAGATCAATCACATCGTGATGAAGAAAACCTGAGAACTAAGTTAAGAAATTCCAGAAAGAGACCAATATATAGCTTTATTTTCATTTCCATTCAAATAACTACTAAGATACATGTGAGGAAGATTCTGGTTTTTTTGTGCTCTACAATAATTGTCCAAGTTAGAGCAAACAATATTCATTTAACTTTGCACTGCTGAGAATGTCAATAATAAATACATAAATAAGTTACCCATTTGCCTGACATTATGATAATCCATGAAGAAGGAGAAGATGAGGAAAAGTTACTGGTCAATTTGTGGTAAATTCTTGCAAAATTTGTGGCAAGGATAAAATTCACCTAGGAACAGTCAGCATGACTTATGTAGTAAAATAATTGTGTAGTTGAGTGGAAGGAAATGAAGAGATTCCAAACTATTGACTGAAAAGGGATTATCACCAAATGCTTATGTATCTAAAGCTGTCCCAAACTGAAAAACCACCGACCAGGAGTCATTGTACAACTCTAGCAATGCAACTGAAACTGGGGCTCAGACCTCCATTTTGAGATGATTGCAGACATTCTCTCTCCCCCGCTTCTGGGTGTAGAGTCCACACATGGCTAGTGGTCCTATGAGATGTGTCTGGGTTCCAAGGACAGAAAGATAGTATAGGAAAGACACCCTGAAAGCTGCCTCCCTTCTGCATCTAATATGACACTGAGTTGCTAGCTGCCTAGATACAAAACCAAAGAGTAAAATCTTAATATTGGCCACTTTCATAATTTTAGTTTTGGTAAATTATTACTGAGCTGGTAGAGACACAACATTCAAGTGGGCTAGGCCATAGTGAAATTAAGACTGGTGTCATGACGCACAGCATGTTAATGTTGAGATTTCGCCAAGTCTGTCAGTTACCCTCTCCTCATTGTATGCAGCTACCATTGCAAGCTTTTACTGTACAATAACGCTTTGTAAAAACATCAGAAAAGTTAGACTTTTATTGACCTATTAACATTGAAATAGGAAATGATAAAATGCAGGCACTTGGCTAAAATATGAAAACCGACCTGAATTGACAGTGTTAAATAGGTGGCTTAAACCGCTTTTGTTTAATTTAATACAATCTTTTAGGAAACAAAAAAATTGGGAAAACTGTTGAATTTTAAAAAGAGATATAAATACCCTTCAAACTCTTGTTCTGTTGAAGACAGGTCTCCTTGTTCTAGTGTATTCTGTGATTTCGCCACTAGGTGGCACCAACGCTCTAGGAAGATAAAGGAAGGCAGGCCATCTGGATTCAGGAAGGACATCCAGATCTTTTAGTAATAACTTAAATTGTCCTCGAAATTTCGTATTAGGATCTTGCAAAACCAAAAGAATACCATCTATCTATGAAAATAGGATTTAGAAGTTAATTCGTGATTATTTATGTAATTAGTATTTTTCCGATTTCTGGAGGTTAGATTCCAAACTGAAATAAAATTTCTAATGCATGATTTGAGGAACTTTGTGCCAGCAAAGTTGAAGCAATTTAAATAAAAATGTTACAGGCTTAATTTTACAATGGCATCATATTCCTAAGAAAAATATTTCTGTTATTTTCTTCTACAAAGGATTTTAGAAATAGAAGTTTGAGTTACAAAGAAAATATAAGCAGTAGTTCAAATTTTATGTACTTAGAAAAGTGGATAATACAATATCCTTCTTCTTTAGAAAAATAATGTACAAAGTGTTTCAGAATTCTCAGGCACGTCTATGTAAACCATTTCATTGGAGAAGGTTGAGAAGACATGACTGTATTATTTATTAATTGTTTAAGAGGACAAGTAATTACTCTTTTATGTCTTTTATCTTTCCATAGCACCTAGTAAAGTGTTCTGTATACAACAGTCTTTTAATAAAAGTTGAATGACTCTCTTTCTTTTTTACATTATGTATGAAACAGCTATATTATTATTTACACATTAATTTTTGAAAGCAATCCCATATTTTATATTGTGTGAGTTAATCCAGTTACTATTTAAATACTCTGAGACTTAATTTACTCACCCATAAGACAGAGAAAATATTTACTCAAATGGTTGTTGGAGAAATTAAACCGAGAATGTTTAAAATGAGCTTAACACATTTCTCGAAACACAGTAGGTACTCAAGAAATGGTAGCTATTATAACATTGCCATCATGAAACTACAGTCTTGTTTTTAAAAATATGACACTTGAATATAATAGGTTGAATACATTTTTTAAAATGATGTGATAATTAGATCAACAGAATGTGATTTTTAATTTTACTTTCAAATTCTGATTCTACAAAAAAAATTTTATTGGGATTATTCTAAAACATATTTACCAAAGTGGTCTCTCACTGTGAGGGTTTATTTTGGTTTTTCACTTGAATTTTTTAAAAATGATAAACATTATAGAGTGACTAGATGATATCAAAATCTACAGTGTAGTTCACCATGAAGCCTTTCTTTACTCCTTTATTTATTTATTTTGAGTTGGAGTCTCACTCTTGTTGCCCAGGCTGGAGTGCAGTGGCAGGCTCATGGCCACCATGGCCTCGACTTGCTGGGCTTAGATCCTTCTGCCTCAGCCTTCCAAGGACTGGAATAACAGACACACACCACCACGCTGGGCTAGTTTTTGTGATTTATTGTAGAGATGAGATCTCACCAATTTGCTCAGGCTGGGCTCAGGCAATCCTCTCATCTCAGTCTCCCAAAGTACTGGGATTACAGGTTGAGCCACTGCGCCTGGCCTCTTGACTCCTTTAAGTGAATGTAACATACTCCTTTCCGAAATTGTTTATCATTAAAAAACTTTTTAATTTTCAGATAATCATAGATTCAGACACAGTTGCGATATAACCATAAGATATAATGCAGATAAATTCTGTGTACCCTTTACTCAGTTTCCCTCAAGAGTACCATCTTACCTAGCTGTGGTACAATATTGCAAGCAAGAGGTGGACATTGAGAAAACCTGTCAAACTTATTCAGATTTCATCTGTTTTGAAAACATGCAATTATGTGTGTATTTAGTTCTGTGTAATGTGATTACATATGTAGATTCGTGTGACTACTACCACCATCCAAATACAGACAGTTGGCTCACAAGGATTCATCACGCTACCTGGCATCCTTTTTACTCCCATTCCCAGTCTCTGACCCTTTTTTATAATTTTTATTAAAAACGGTATATAAATGGTTCATACAATATGTACCTTCTCAGAATGGCTTTTTCATTCAGCATCGTCTCCTTGAAGTCTATTTAAGTTATATGAGTCAGTAGATCATTCTTTTTTATTACTGAGTAGTATTTCATGGTATGATTGCACCCGTTTGTTTAACTGTTTTCTCACTGAAGGGCATTTGTGTTGTTTTCAGTTTTTGGCTATTATGAATAAAGCCGCTATGAACATTTGTGGGTAAGCTTTTGTGTGAGCATCAATATTTATTTCTCCAAGACTCATGGCTTAGAATGAAATTACTGTCATACGGTAAATTCATGTTTAGTTATTTAAGAAACTGCCATAGTCTTCTCATATGACTCCTTACCATTTTTAAAGCTTTCTGTACTTAATAAGCTCTACCTATATATTTTGGACATGTGTGAGTAGATGTGATTTCACCAACTAGACTGTAAACTCCATGAGGATATGGACCATAGTTAATTTTTATATCTTTCACAGTTCATAGAAAAGTATAATATTACCTGTGGCAGTTGCTCAATAAAGATTTATTAAATAAAGAGTAAAGAGAATAATAAAAGCAAATATAGCAATATATGTTAAATGAACAAGAAGAAATAACTTTAAGTAGAAAATAATTAACACTTTTCTTCATGAATGTATTATGGTCTAGCTTCTGTAATTCTGGATGGAATTTATCATGGTACCTCCAAGTACCTTATGCTGGTTGATACAAAATCTTGTTCTTCACTTTTCCACATGGTACACAATCTAACGCAGACTAAAAACATGGTTGATATGGTGAATTTATTTTTGTGTCTTAGTTTATTTCCTGATACATATATATTTCATGATTTTCTGACACATATCAGATTCTACACTGTACTTGTGGAGTGGATCCCAGTCTGAGGATTTACACAATAAATATTTGATGGTCTTACTTTTTATAACCGGATTGTTTGTCCTAATATAATTTTTATTGCACAATTCACACGATGGAGTGAAAGACAAAGGTCAGTGAAATACAATAAAAAATTGTCTCTTAGTTGACTGTGATCCACTGAGAACCTCTTTGTCATGAATGTAGTCAGGCTGAATCCCACAGTCAATCACTGTACTCATTGCCTAGAGTATACCCTTGACTTAGCTGTCTTGCACCATCACTCTGTGACATGCA